CCTTCCACCAACGGTATGGCTGAACGGATGGTGCGCGTCACCAAGGACGCCCTGAAGAAGCTGACTTATGGGGATTGGCATCATTGGTTGGCTGATTTCCTTCTTGCTCATCGCATTACACCTTCTGTAGCGACTGGGAAAAGTCCGGCTGAACTACGCTGGGGTCGTCGACTGACCACTAAATTGGACAGGTTGCATCCTGATCGGTTGGTTCCTTTGGAGTCTCCAACTAGGGCCCCACGGTGTTTGACCGTGGGCATGCCGGTGTGGTCCCGGAACTATGGCCCTGGCCACCCTTGGGTTCCTGCTGTTGTATGCAAGGTGACTGGACCGTTTTCATATGAGGTCTCCGTAGAGGGCGGCCGCGTCCTGAGACGACATATCGATCAGCTTCGCCAAAGACTGGACTCTTCTCCTCCTTCGCCTGGGTCTTCTGTGGGGGGGGAGGGGGATCTGGAGGGAACAGGGGAGGGTTTGTCCCAAGGTTCCGCAAGTGTGCCCAACGGAAATTCATGGGAGAATAACCCAGAACACCCTGCAACACACACTCCAGATAGTGAGATTTTCCGGGAGAGTCCTCCGAACTCACCTAATACAAGGGAACGGGCGTATGCCCAAGGAGGTTTGGTCAGTAGGTCCAGGTGGAAGTTTGCAGTTGGGACAGAAGCTGGAAGGGATGTTCATGACCCTTTTTCAGCTAACGCACAACATGGGGTGGTTGGTCCTGGGGGCACCGAGGACACAGGATACAGCTCGGCCTTGGTAGGTGGCAACGAAACATTAGACTTCCAAAATTGGTCCATTGTGGACCTGGGAAATTCCACAGCATTCAGGAGTGGGGAACAGGGCCCTGACAGACCGGGTAGAATGGTCGTAGAGGGTGAGCCACCTTGTGGCAGAAAAGGAAGTCCTGGGCTGTGTAGCCCAATGGACAAGCTAGCAGGCCAGGCCCCTGTAGTTAAGTCACCGGGACCACCAGGGTATAGAAGAGGGGTTGTTCCCATCGCACATGAGGCTCATGGCAATCGAGAATGTTCCCTGGAGCTGAGAAGATCACAAAGAGAAAAGAGGTCCCCAAGATATTTGGAAGATTTTGTAAGGTTGTTGTCAACCTGTTAGTATACCTGGTAGCTGGGTGATAGCACGGTACCGTTGTATCACCTGAGCCACCCTAGCGCAGTTATAGGTCTTTTAGGCCTCACGCCCAATCAGAGGTCGCGGGCATGATACATGTGAGCACATGTGCCCGATGAGTTTAATCCGGGGGTGAAGGGGTGTTGTGTCCTGGGACTTGCAGCAAGCAAGCCCGGGCAGTTGCCATGGCAATGGGCTGCAGAAGCTGCCCGGGGGCCAGACAAACTGGCGACAGCCTGCGCGCATGCGCAAGGAAGCGCGCGCGAGCAGTAGCAACTTTACCCGGACCGTTCTTGTTTTGTTGTTGTTGGTTGAAGCAGAGGAAGAAGCAGGAGGCCTGTGAGTCTCCGTTTTCCCTGTATGACTCTAAGTGCCATTAAAGAAGACATTTGGTTCACAATGCCTGTTGTACTAGTCATTGAATCCAAGGATTTAACAGATAGATAGATAGATAGATAGATAGATAGATAGATAGATAGATAGATAGATAGATAGATAGATAGATAGATAGATAGATAGATAGATAGATAGATAGATAGATAGATAGATAGATAACTATTATCATTTTTTTACTGTGGGCACAATGGCACACATTAAAAATGAAATTAGTTGCTTGCTTTCAAAGTGTACACATACATAACACACATTTAAACATACTATAAACAACATATATATAGCCCTACACCCCTATATATAATTAACATATAAATATTAATCACTGACCATCTTGAATACATAACTAATACAGATGACTTTGTTTCATGCCCCAATGATGTTTAGAGAAGCAACAAGAATTGCACAATTGTTAACATTGGATATTCTAAATTTGCATTAAAACACAAGATAAGCATTATGGTAGAGTAAATTGGACTGGGAACATCTTGAAGCTAAATACAAACTTTTGTTTAAGATACGTATTGTAGTCCAAATCTGTCATATGAAAAAAAAACAACACAAATGGGAACTATTTTCTCTACATTTTTTAAAAAATATATATTTTATGAAATTATATACTATCAAATTGTAGATTATCAAATGAGCATCTGGCCTGGCATGTGACACTGGCTCATAGGGGCTAAAATCTACAAGATGGTGGATGAAGTATCAGTATAGAAATTCTACCCCTTTTGTTTGTACATTTGGTGGCACATACCAGAGGGAGAGAAGTCAAATGCAATGCTGAACCTACAATGTTGCAGAATTTGAGACACCCTTCAACACACACACAGAATGCTACTTTTGCAGTTAATATTTGGGTGTGTGCAGTCTTGTTTTCAGTTTCCAGAGCTTATTGCCTTCTACTGTTTCCTGAATCAGTGCAAGAATTCTGTAACAAGAAGAAACTAACTCTGTGGTGTACAACAACACCTTGTGTGATATTTAAAGCACTGCTGTTTATGACTGTTATGAGATGTTATAGATTACTTTGCTCAGAAGAAAGTGAGATAAGGAATATGTCCAGACATGCATAAGGAACATCTGAACCTGTTGAATCATACCAAAAATCTATTTAGTCTTTTATCCAATGACCCACTAGATCATTATAGGGAGAACACAAAGCAGAAAAAAAATTGTGAGAAGGAAAAGGGACAAATAGGTTCTTCCTAATATTCCATTTAAATCCATATCTTCCTGTGACCATTTAAATTTTTTAAAAAAGAGAAGAAAGAATGTATGGCAAAATTTATTATGCTGCATTTTTAATTTGCTCTGCAGCACATATGTCATTATAATAGAAAAGAAGTGTGTACCATAAATGCTTACCTTGAATGATATTTCATACTGTTCTCCTCCCCAGATTTCCAATCCAGGGTCATAGCCACCAAGATCCCAAAACCACTTTCTATTAACAGCAAAGAGACCTCCAGCCATAACAGGAGATCTAAGGAAAAAACATGAGTGATGCATATTACCATGGCATGATAGGAAACCTATTAATCCATCACAGATGCTGATACTTGCCATTTTTACAATATCACACATATATATGGAGGTTTTTATCCACCATATGGGTTAGATTTCATCTTGCATAATTCCCAGTCAGCTACTAGCTAGGAATCCTGAGAATTACAGTTTCAACATATCTGGAAGGTATCAGACTGGGAGAAACCTATTGCAGGCTATATATACAGTATTCTGTTTATTCCATAAAATAATTCACTACTTTAATATCAACATGTTTGCTACTAAGTGATACGATATTTAGATAGTTACTCAGTTGCCACCTCGAAATCTCACGACAGTTGAGATTATGGTTTAGGTTGAGCAAGGATACTATACATACACATGATTATGAAAATTGCACTATCTGTAAGAGAGTTACACAGTTTAGCTTCTGTAAGAATTATAGTATTACAGTCAGATATGGGTAGTTCAAATGCTAGGTGCAGTTTTCAAGAAGGTATACTGAGGATATTGCAAAGTTGTTTCATTTTTTCTGTTCTGCATAGATCCCCTGCAATAAAGAAAAAATTACAACAAGTTCTAGCAAAGGATAGGGGTGGAAAAATAAGGAGATAAATAAATGAAAGACAGCAATGTCTGGTCCCTCCTAATCCCAATAATTTCTAAGAAAGGATGATTGCACTATATTGTAAATGAGAGCTAGTTTCATATAGTGGTTTGGGTGATGGAGAGAATTGGGAAGACTCAACCTACTTCACAGATCTGTTCTGATAAAAATCGTAAGAAGGAATGTTGGGTATGCCTCCTTGAACTCCTAGAAGAAAATCCAGGATATGAAACTAAACTATTCATGGTAGTAATCTTAACATGGAGCTATGCTTTCCCTAATGTGGACAGAATTATGCATACAGTGTGTACATTAGTACACCTTTTCTTTATTTTGTAGTCTCCCTTTCCACATGCTGAGACAAGAAAATTTTTGATAGAATATTTTAGTGAATGTATTTAACTACAAAAACTGGAATAGCTACATCTTGTAATTTTCAACTTATCAAAATACAGTAAATGCTATATCTAAATGCTATATTTAAAACACCCATAGCTTTTACTTCTCCACGGCAATATTCATATCTATTCAACCTTTGTATAGACAAATAGTTTAGAATAAAATGAGCCTATGAACCATTTTATTTTAAGATTTCTTAGTTTGGAAAAGTTAAGAATATTATGGAATTATAAGAGTTATAAGTTATAAGAGTTATAAGTTTAACTTTACAGTATAATATGACCCATTCACTATCTATTAGACAATATATCTCACAGGTTTGTGCTTGCAAAGAAAAATTCACAAAAACACTGCTACTTATGCTACCCTTGAATTTCTGAAGGAAAGATGGGACATAAAACTAATTACCTATCTAACTATCAACTAGAGGCATAAATAAATATTGCTACAGCAAAGACATGTTTGCTAAAATTGCCACCATTGGTCTATGACTACATAATTCAAAATTAAGATTCATTGAAAATATATTGAAAGAAATATATATATGTAGGTCTTTAGTTATTTGGGTTTTCTCCCGCGTAGAATTAAAAGTACCTTGGCGACGTTTCGACGAAGTCACATTCGTCATCTTCAGGCTGGTGTCTTCAGCTTTGTCTTCACCTTCTTTCATCACCAGGACGCTACGTGCGCCGGCCCCGTTGTGGGGGCGGCGCGCGTCTCCAAGGACGAGGAATTGAGGAAACGAGCAGAAAAGGGAAGAGGGATAGTTGGAGGCAGCGCGGTTGGTCTGACAAATAAGGGGAAACACTCAGAGGCGAGGAAGAAAGTTAGGCATGGAAGGGTGGGGGAGGAGAAGGAAGGGAAGG